CACTATCATAACACGCACATCCAGGAACGATCACACGGGATCGCGGTTATCGTGGAGCTACGAAACGCTTCGTTAAGTTCTCCCCAAGACAACAAAGAACCAACCTCGCGTTGGATCCCCCCCCCCCGATGAGTTTGTCAGGTTAGAGCAGAGCTTAAAGACACAGAAGACTGAGACGCAATCCACCAAGAATCAATAATACATGCCAGTACGGCTGAAGATCTAAAGAGGAAGCTGGACAGAGATCCCAAATTCAAAATAGATTACGTGAGATTTATGGAAGGTGTCTTCAAGGATGGAGATGCTGAGAAAGTGGAAAACCAAGCAGAGCTGGGGAAAGTCTGGTATATCCCACATCAAGGAGTTTACCACCCCAGAAAACCAGGCAAAATCAGAGTGGTTTTCGACTGCTCTGCAAGGTATGAAGGCACCTCCTTAAACGACCATCTGCTAACAGGACCTGACCTCACAAATAGCCTAACAGCCGTGCTGTGCCGCTTCCGTAAATATCCCATCGCAGTCATGTGTGATGTGGAGAAAATGTTCCACAGGTTTCATGTGAGCGAGAATGATAGAGACTACCTGCGGTTTCTCTGGTGGGAAAATGGAGACACAAACTCTGAACCCAGAGAGTACCGCATGAAGGTTCACCTGTTTGGAGCATCATCCTCCCCTGGCTGCGCCAATTATGGCATGAAACACCTTGCCAGCCAATGTGAGAAAGAGTACCCCTCCGCAGCTAGCTTCATCCAGAAACATTTCTATGTCGACGATGGTCTCATAAGTGTAGAGTCGGTGGGTAAGGCAATTGAACTGGTCAAAGAAGCCCAAGCCGTGTGTGCCAAAGGAAAGCTGCACCTTCACAAATTTCTCTCCAACAGCCGAGAGGTCCTTGACTCTGTCGATGTTGCAGAGCGTGCTACGGAGGTAAAGGATGTTGATCTTAATCACGATGATTTACCAGTTCAAAGAGTGCTAGGTATAAGGTGGAACTTAAAAGGACTATACAAACGTTTGTATCAAGCAACGCGTTCTAGTTCATAGGATCAAATTGTAATGACATGCTCCTATAATCTCTCACCTTCTTCTAACTGGTCACCGATAATACTTTCATTACCAGTTCAAGATCTAAGTGGAACCTTATATTGTTATGGAAAGTGCAAAAACCTCTTATCTCTTTTGTGAGTATCACTCGATCACTCACCCGTGCACGTAGCTCTATAAAACTCCTTTTGACTGTCTTGTATTCCTTCATCGTATTTAAAAATGTCACACACCACTGACAATGTTTAAACAGTGCAACCATTTGCTTTATTTCTCATTGTCTCTATGAGGGATGAGGTCGACTACCCAGCCCTCTGCCTGAGTGTGGGGATTATTCTGCCCCATTGCTCACTCACTTCCTAGCCCTATGAGCAAACATAGTCTTTTAGATATGCTGGAGGCCTCCTAGACCTGGGTGGGATCTTTCTCCCAGCTTCAGGAGTCTGCTGGCTGGCCTCCTGTGAGATAGTGTCTGGAACCGACACACTCTGTGCAGCTGGAACAGAGTTCTCAGGTGAAGCCTCTGGTGGATCGACAGAAGTCTCCGGTGCCCCAGGTGTCCGTGTAAGATGGTAACGGTTTCTTCTCAGCGTGCCCTTTGCTGTCTCTACGATGTAGGACCTCGGTGAGCCTGCCATGGACACGACTGTCCCTCTAGTATCCGTGTCTGAGACCCACACTTTGTCTCCAGGATTGAGCTGTAGCATGTCATGTGCTCTGTGTCTGCGGTTGTAGTTTTGTCTTTGTTTTTGTCTGTACGTTTGTAGCTTTGAGCTTGTCTGTGTCCGTACCTCTTGGATTTAGCTGTGATGGGATGACAGGAATAGTTGTCCTTATCCTCCTACCCATGAGAAGCTCAGTCGGGCTGTAGCCAATGGAGTGGCCCGGTATGCCATAAGGGCGAGATAGGGATCACCAGACTTTTTAAGAAGACTTTTGATGGTCCTGACTGCCCTCTCGGCCTCGGACAACACCCCCAGGGCTTGCTCTGTATGATCCAAGTGCTGAAACGTGCGTATCAGCTGACTCATCTTCGTATGGCTTGGGAGCAGTGCTTCTCCATCGGCACGCCGATTTAGGGTGGAAACCAAAACCAGTAGCATACACTTCAAGAGCTCTCAGCGCAACAGAGCAGTGATATGCTCACATTGAGAAAGAGGCCCTCGCTTCAACTTGGGCCTGTGAGAGGTTTGCAGAGTTCCTAATTGGGAAAACATTCCACATTGAAACAGACCACAAACCTCTGGGGTTTTAGCCATGTGACATCCAGTCCCCACTTCCCTCAGGATGGGTGTTCATACTGGAGTGCAAAATTAAAACCAATGGAAGATGGACAAGAAAAGTTCAAAGCCATCAGGTGCTCAGTTTAGAAAAAAGAGAAAAGAAGAGGAGGAGAAACAAAAGATGCAGGTAAGCAGATGTGTGATTGGATGATGGCAGCTCATCCTGAAACAATCAGAATACTTTATTAATCCCTGACGAAATTATGTGTTACAGTTGCTCCAAGAAGAAATGGTAAAAATAGTAACAGTAACAGACTAAACTGCAAACATTATGTTACAGGTTTTAATATTAATCAGTCATTGTCAGTTGTTGATTTGTCCTGTTGTCATTGTATGACGAATTATGATGGCTGTTTGCATACTGTGCACTCTCTCCCTTCATGTGTGTGTTTCTCTGGTGAGACTCAGTGTGGTTCCGACAAGTTTTATGTTAATGTACAATCCTTAATATGTTTTGTGTGTGTGTGTGTGTGTGTGTGTGTGTGTGTGTGTGTG